CAACAGAGTGGTGTGAACAAAAGTTCAGGATGCTCGCGGGCCTGGAACAAGGGGACCTGTTGACAGGAGAAGTCTCCCGGAGGAGTAGACTTTAAGAATATTGCTGAAGGAGGCACAGAAGAAGAGGAGAACTGCACTCCTACATGGGCAGAGGTCCCAAGAAAAGTAGAAGAATGGAGCTTTGATAGAAAGCAATTAAGTCTGCTGTGGCTGGAAGAAGAAAGAAGGAGAAAGTGGTACAAGATGAAGCTGGAGCGGCAGCTACCCCAGGGATCCTGCCCTTTATCCTGGAAGCCTTGGGGAAATCCTGAAGGGCTGCAGAGGTGTACAAGATCAGAAATCTGATTTTAAGGGAGTTTACCAACTGAAGTGTTGGCAGCAGGTGAAACACTGGCCAGAGCAGATGAGAGGAACCCAGCTAGGTGGCTACGGGTTGTCCAGATGTCCAGGTTAGGCTGGTTGGTGGCAGCAGAGAAAAAGACTGGTAAAAGACCTGCTCAGTTAAAGGTTAACTGTTATCAGAATTAGGAAGGAGAGCAAAGATGGTGCTTTCACACCAAGTTTACTTTCAAAGAGGGAGACTCAGCACAGCCATTTTTCTAAAGAGTGCACAACACAATGCTGTATTAGCATCATCCTGCCTCCCTCTGGCACACAACCACACTGCTTATCTTGTTACAAGAGAGCCTGGCATTTATCCCACTGGTGGTCACTGAAGGCTCCATGACACAAATAAACGTTTCTCTGTTTGGGGTTGTACAATTAGATAAACCAAGTCAAAAGTAAAGGACAGACTGGAAAAAATCATTTGTAACATGTATAATATACAGAACGTTAACATCCTTAAGCAGCGCTTACAAAACAATACAAATATGAACTTTAAACTAGAAATATTGGGTTGTCAAGCAAGTCATGATGCATTTTTGCATTCAAAAACATAGAAAAATATGTCATGACTTTCCTGACGACCCAATACTATAAAGAAATAGAAATTTGCCAATATGTATGTAATCAGGATGTTCACTGCACCATGGTTTACAACAGTGAAAATACTAGATGCAACCTAAATGTCTGACCTATAAATGCTAGTATGAACATTTAATGGAATACTATGTAGTCATTAAGAATGGTGATATGGGGCAAGCCGAGTGGTGCACTGGTTAAGAGCTGGCTTGGGACGCCAGTTCTGAGCAGCAGGGCCCTGGTTCGGATCCCACATGAGGGCCAGTGACACTGCCCTCTACAGCTAAGATGATGAATAACAGCTTGACCTGGAGCTGGGCTGCTGTGAGTTGCCAGCAATGGCGTAGGCTGCAGTGGAGCTGCAGTGGGGCTGCAGTGGGCTGCCATAAGCTACCATGGGTGGCGGGCAGCCGGGGTGAGCGGCCGGCAGCTGGTGTGAGCTGCCAAGAGCCGCCGTGAGCAGCCATCCAGTGGCCAGCGACCGATCTGCCTCACCCAGGAAGAGCGCAATGATAATACCAACATGGGCCAGTGAAGCGACGTCCTCCACAACTAGACTGAAGAACAAAAGGACAGCTACTTGTCTGTTCCCCTTCCCCGATTTCCCAATGCTGTTCCCCTCTCCCAATTCCCCAATAAAAAAAAATCTAAAAAATACCCCAAAAATGGTGATATGGACTCCGAACAGATAAAACAATCTTGAACAATAACTAAGTTGGAAGACTCGCACTTTCTAATTTTAAAACTTACTACAAAGCTGTGATAATCAAAATAGTGTGGAACTGGCATTAGGACAGACATACAGGCCAATGGAATATAATCGAGAGCACAGAAATAAACACTGACATTTATGATCAAGTAATTTTTGAAAAGGCTGCCAAGACCATTCAATGGGGGGAAAGATAGGCTTTTCAACAAATGATGCTGAGACAACTGGATATCCACCTATAAAAAAAAAATGAAGTTGGACTCTTTCTTACCTTAACCCATATATAAAAATTAACTCTAAATGGATCAAAGACCAAAATGTAAGAGCTAAATCTATAAAACTGTTAGAAGAAAAAACAGAAGAAAAGGCTTCATGACATTGGATTCAGCAGTGATTTCTTGGCTATGACATCAAAAGTACAGGTAACAAAAGAAGAAATAAACTGGCTACATTAAAATTAAAAACATTTGGTGTCAAAAGACACCATAAAGAGAATGAAAAGGTAACCCACAGAATGGGAGAAATATTTGCAAATCATATGTCTGATAAGGGGTTAATATCCAGAATATATAAAGAACTCCTACAACTCAAAAACAAAAAAACACCAAACAATTCAAAAAATTCAAAAAATGAGCAAAGGACATTTTTCCAAAGAAGGTGTACAAATAGCCAATAAGCACATGAAAAGATGCTCAACATCACTACTTATTAGGGAAATGCAAATCAAAACCATACTGAGATACTATTTCACATCTATTAGGATGGTTGTAATCAGAATAGCAGAAAATAAACATTGGCAAGGTTGTGAAAAAATTGGAACCCTCGTGCATTGTTGGTGAGAATATAAAATGGTGCAGTCACTGTAGGAAACAGTCTGGCAGTTCCTCAAAAAACTTTAACACAGAATTACCAAATGATTCAGCAATGTGCTTGAAGATTAGGTATATACCCAAAGAATTGAAAGCAGGGACCCACCCAGACACTTGTACAGCAATGTCCACAGCAGCATTATTCACAATAGTCAAAGGTGGAGACAACCCAACTACCCAACTACTTCATTGACACATGAATGAATAACAAAATGTGATATATACTATCACACATAGTCATGTGCTACTGAACAACAGGGATACATTCTGAGAAATGTGTCCTTAGGTGATTTAGTCATTGTGCGAACATCACAGTGTACATACACAGACAGTACAGCCTACAACTGCAATTGTATGTGCTGTACTTTTATACAACTGGCAGCGCAGGTTTGTTTACACAGCATCACCACAAACATGTGAGTAATGTGTTGCGCTAAGACAGTAGGACGACTAGTACATCACGAGGTGATGGGAATTTTTCAGCTCAATTATAATCTTACGGAACCACTGTCATATATGTGGTCTGTCACAGACCGAAACATCACCACGCAGTGCATGACTGTCTATTTATACATTTACTAGTAGTTACCAAATATATAGTATATATTAGTAGAACAGTGGTTGCCAGGGACCGGGGAAAGGAGTAATGAGCAATCATTGTTTAATGGGTAGTTTCAGTTTGGAATGATGAGAAAGTTCTGGAGATGGACAGTGGTGATAGTTGCACAACAATGTGAATGTACTTAATGCTATATATCTGAAAATAGTTAAAATGGTAAATTTTATGTTATGTATAGTTTACCGCAACAAAGCAAAGTTTTTTTAAAAATGGTGATGTATGTGGTTTAAAGAAACTTCTCTATAGTATTATTATGTAAGGTGGAAAATAATAGATTACAAAATGGTATGTACAGTGAGATCATTTTTCTGTTTAAAAACAAACTTCTTGCCCACAGGAGCCCAAGAAAGGCTTTGGTTTTCATCTTGGGGCCAGAACTCTGTTGCCTACCAGTGAGGGAGGCTGGGAAGTTGAGAATTTAGCTTTCTTCACTCAGCAGGAGAGGAAGGCTAGCTGACAAAGGGTATGGACCAAGCCACTACCACACACCAGAGATGGAGGTTTTAGAACCTTCTCTGTTCCTTTTCCTTTTGTATACATTAGAAAGTGAGGCTAGCTAGATCTGCTTGGGTACAAAGAATGCAAGCTCCTATGGCTTTTCTCAAGATTTATACTACTACTAAGCGAAAAACCAGAAAGCATCATCTAAAACAATATTGTTTGGACTAAAAGTTCCATTTGTTCAAGGCTTTCAGTTTGGGTAAAATTAATGTCTGCCTACTTATCAGCTGTGCTGGGTAAACACTTCAGAGTGCCTTCAAAGGGGGTTACTTAACACAGTTCTTTTCCTAAAGAGATGTTGCATTAGCGTAATCTAGTTCACAGCAATCCAGCACTGTCCTCTGAGGATTAACATAGGGTTGACTATATGTGTGCCACAAAGGGTGCTATGAAATCCTGATTTAGTAAAACAATTAAAAACACAACAATGACAGACTGGAAAGAACAGTGAACTGGGAGTCAGAGGAGCTGGGTCTCAGGTCTTGTTCTTCCCTTGCTACGTAAAGACTTTTGTCATTCAACATATCACGGAATCTGTGTATCAGGCACTAGGCTAAGTACTGTGGGGTGGGGGTGGGGGTATGAAAATGCCAAATAAACAAGATAATCTCTCTCCTGGAGAACATGATCTTTTATTTGGGCAAGTTACTTCATCTTGCAGAGTCTCAGCTTCTTCACCTATAACTCAAAGACATTACCATTCTCAAAATGTTATTAGGAAATATGGCAGGATATTTCGACCTCAGAGCCCTTGATGTTTTGAGTCAGGTAATGCCTTGCTACCGGGGGCTGTCCTGTGCACTGGAGGCCATGTAGTGGCATGCCTGGCCTCTACCCACTACATGCCAGTAGCTCCTCTCCATCACTCCCATCCCAGTTATAACAACCCAAGGTGTCTATGGACATTACCAAATGTTCCCTGGGGCAAAATCATCCCCGGTTGGGAACCTCTGAAATAGCATGGTGACATATGAAAGCATTTTTAAAAAAGCATAAAGCTCCAAATCAAACCAGTATTAATGTAAATCCATTTTTAAGATTACTTGTCAAAAAATCCTTTAAAACATTTGTAGTTTTCTTAGGGATGTTTTTATTTATATATATGTGTGTGTGTGTGTGTGTGTGTGTATATATATATATATATATATGTATATATATATATATATATTGCCTACCATTAAACGCCTTTTGGGGTCATTTTCTTAACCCAAACAAAGCATCTTTATTAGAACATATTTTTAAAATGCATCACTGTGCTAACATGACAGTCAGAGCCAAACATAATTGCCATCTCTGCAAAGCAGACAATTTATCCAAAATCAAAGTACTCTGTGCCTACCTTTTAAGGTCAAGGGACTGGATCTTGTGAATTCTGTATTTGACGGCCTGTGCTGTTTACGAACTTCCAAGTACTCCTTAACTCTTGAATCAATGGTTTCTTTTAACAGTAAACAGACTTCCTAAAGTAAATTAAAAAATTAGAGATAAGTTTCTAATTTAATGCAACATAAAAAAAGTCAACATCATGCACAGTAAAAAGTCAACAGTGAATATTTTATTTTGTTTGCTTTTTAAATTAGCTACGAATACTGAAAGGAATGTTATATGTGCTCATGGATATGTTGCAGATTTAAATTTGCTACGGAGGTTTGTTCGAAACTATGATGTTGGCTTACTCTGTGATCTGAGAAACTCATTTAATTTCCCTCTGCCTCAGATTCACATTTCTAAAAGGAAGATAAAAATGCCTCAATGTAAAAATTAGGGTGATGAGGTGATGAAATCAGTGAGGCAAAGACTGTTTTCGTAGAAATATCAATCAGCTGTAGAGTGACAAATAGAAGAGGGGAGTCAAATAGAGCCATCGCTGGCTGGCAGCGAGAGCCCCTGGGAGGTGCTGACTGTGGCCAGGCAGGGGACTGTGGACGAGGAACGGAGCCAGGAGCCAGGGCATATTCAGAGGGCACCCTGACACCAACCAAGTCCATGGCGGGGCAGCCCCCCATGGTTTCATGTGGGGACAGTGTCACCACATCTTCCAGTTTGCTCACGAGGAGCCAGAAACAGTGAGGATTTTTTTGAATACAAAAATTTCCCACTTTTCAAATTTGGTTCAAAAAACTTTAAAAAACAAAACATCTCCATTAGTTCAGGCCTCAGATTTACAGATCTACAAAAAAGGGAACAGTATGGAGTAGGGGTTGACTAGAGAGCTGGAAAACAGTAATCTGATTTTCTTCCATGTTCTTGTTGATGATACTGTGTATGCCCATTTGCTTTTGTGAAAACTGCACTATATTTAACTTCTTATATTTCTCCAAAGCAGATTATTTATTAGGCAACAGAAACACATGGTTTTAATTCAATATTAACATACCATATCACTAGAAAATTTCTGGAGCTGTCTATTGTTTTATATATTAGTGTATTTATATAAAGGAAAATAAAGCTTTAAAAGTCCAACCACACCCTGGGAAGACATTGTCCACTTCAGCTATACTACCAGAAAGATGTAACCTAATGTAGGAAAAGGAAAAAAAACAAACGCACACAAATCTAAATGTCTTAGATTAAGAACTGATGCATGAGGACTGATAATTGTGGTTCAATTCCCAAGGCCTCTGAAGAAGGCTCCGAGTTGCTGAGGTCACCTCAAACCTGTTTCACTGGTTTCTTGCAATACCATCTCAGGTTGAGCTCCTAAAATCTTCATAAATTAAAACGAGAACAAAGTTTTAAGCTATTTCAAAGGGCAATGACAGCCAAACTTTTATTTATTTTTTATTATAAACACATGTCCTCCTCAAACGGTATAGAAAACCCTTGATTTAACTCACAAGTGTGAGTTTGTAGATGAAACACATATACTGGTCCCTTCTCTCCTGCTCTTGTTTTGTAGCCCGAAGATGCAGTGCCTTGTGGAATACAGAAATATCCGTTTACAGTCGAGTGTTTTAGCATTGTTCATACAACAGAAAGGCAGCCTTGCCTCACACTGTCGTTTTAACAATAAAAGAATTTTGCTTCACATGCAGGGTTCAACTATGACTGAGTCTGAAAATATGTGAAAGACATACATGGAAACAAGGATTTTTAAAATTTGGCCATAAATGCCCTATAAGGCTAGAACTAAAAATAGTACAACAAAAACAAAGCAAAGGCCCATACACATGAACTTTCTCCCTATAGTTATGGGGCTTTTCTTTGATGAGTCAGGTTTGATGAACGGAAGGTAGGCCCTGTGCAAAGTGGTCAAGATTCCCCAGTAACTGACCACACTTAGAGAACCATTCTCTTCAGAACCAGAGCAATGCAAGAAAAGCCACATTCCCAGCTAACTTGGAGTGGAAGATGAGAACCAAGTTCAAACTGAGGAGTGAGAGCTACATATGGAATCTCTAGGCTAACAGGGGCTCATGTTTGCTTCCTCAAGTTTACAAATGGAACAGTTTGTGTTTGACTGTTTGGGTACACAGGCTACTTGTGCTGGACTCAAAATAAACATATGTTTAATACATGTAATTAGGTCCTTTTTCTGAAAAGGAACTGGATATTCTTAAGAAGTTTACTATATAAAATGACTTAAAATGCAATCAAATTGATTGCTCATGAAATCTCAATCATGAGATGATCTAATGATTAAAAAAAAAAGATGAAAGCACTGAATGTAGGCTAAAGTCATATACTTTCCTTGACTAGAGTATCTTC